TCTAGTTTATTAATTTTAATTATTAGTAATTAAATTGTTTGCACGGCGTACAAGCAAATTAAAGTGAAAAAACAAATCGAAAAAAAAACTTATATCTAGTTGCAACAAGTTGTCTCACTATGAACCTCTTACCAGGGGTGAGAGACAGAGCCACGTGCCACGAGGCAAAACAAAACTACAATAGGGACTCAATGGACTTGCAAAATGTTTTGTTTAATACTTATGCCGGTTGTGTAAACAACCTATCAGCCGGTGCAGCTAGGTATTCCGTTTGCTGCTGCTACGCTGCGGCTATTGACGGAGATGATGCGATGATGATGGTGATGATTTGATGATGATCGATCACTGGGGTAAAGGTGAACAGTCTATACATAAGACTCAGCTTACGATAGCTGCTTCCGAAAACCGTGCGCGATTCACCTGAACACTTTTTTTTTTTAATAATGAACACATGTTTTTCAACCGTGTATATTTTTTCAAGAACTGCATTTTAATTTTACACAACTTTCCCGAAGACACCATAGCAATCAAGCAAGCCGTTTTTGCAATATAGGTATGTTTATTTCATTAGTGTTTTTCTACACAGGCCCTATTGAAAAGTAAGGATTCATTACATCTGATACCATGAAAAGGTATCGTTACTAACAAAACTAAAAAATTCATTTGATGAATATTGAGCTAGAACTAAATAAAAGTGATATGATGTTCAAACTAGCGACCCTTACTGAAGGAGCAATTCCATTCAAATTGACGATTTTTTAATTTTCTTTTTTGTTCATTGTCTTCAATTTTGCATAGTTGTATCAGTGATCTTAACGGTAATAAGTCAAATACTCAACACAGTAGTAGTGAACACCAAAAACATCTGTCTGTACCTAATGTAGAAATTGTACCTATCGATCTGGTACTTAAATGAGTTTGAATGGTGAAAACATGCTTTTTACCGCATACATCTTAAAAAGTTATCATAGGAAATAAGTGTAAGCATAACCTTCAGTTGTATTTCAATGAAATCATTTTTAAAGATTATTATTTTTAATTTTTTTTTTAATACAGGAAGCAACATGAGTGAACGAGCATGTTTTATCAGGTGCATTCGGCCGTTCGAGGAAGTCAAGCTGAGCTGAGGAATATTTCGAATATTACCATCCAGAAATTAAAATCGATTGGATATTCTGAAGCATCAGGATTGAATACTGGTTTTAGCATTTGCACGTCCTGCCGTCTTCGTGTTGATGAACAAGCTCTTTTCATCTCAAACGAGGAACAGCATGTTGACGGAAGCTCAAAGATGCCAACTACAGTGATAGTACCTATCGTACCGAGCTATGAAAGCCTTACAACTGTACCACCAATGATTTCAGTTACTTCAGTTCAATCGTATCAAGAATTCACTCAACCAGTCAACATCGAGATATTCAACCGAGGCATTGCAGGAATCCAGGTATCACCGATAGACGTGGGAAAACTCAACTACATCCACTACCCCGAAAAAAGCACCGTGAAATCAACGAAGGTATTAGAAAGAATCTTTTCAACTTCGAGCCTGAGGCTTACGAAGTGAATGGACTCAAAGAAGTTTTAGAACACACGAAGGAAAAGTTTTCCAATGCATCCACTGCAAGAAGTGAAAAAGTATTAATTTTATCGTTATTACCTTATTCCTGGTCAACACAAAAAGTTATGGATCAATTTAATGCTAGTAGATATATTGCAACAGGGACTAAGTTGATAAAGGAAGGTCATTTGTCAAAACCGCAAAATATGGCACAGCCTTAAGTGATGACACAAAATTGGCAGTCATAATTTTTTTTGAAGATGATGATATAAGCCGGGCAATGCCTGGTCAAAAACAATTAGAGGAAAAATGCATTGATCAGCTTTCATTTGAACAGTGGGTTATCACGGATAGATGTGATTTAGAAACTATTGTAAAGCCTGCAGACGAGTTTGTTTCATTTTTCTGCTTGCAATTGACAAGTTTGATACCACATGATTTCATAAAAACACAGCAATCTTATTTTTTGAAAACTACACGAAGTAATTTGCAAGAAGGTGAATTTTTAGTTAGTTGCGATTTTTCCGAAAACTACAGCTTAGTGTTACAGGATGAAGTTCAGTCTCATCACTGGAATGTCCAACAAGCTACCATTCATCCATTTGTTATATATTTTAGAGAAAATATGCAAGTTAAACATTTAAGTTTTATTATAATTTCTGAAGAGTTAAGACATGACTCAGTGGCTGTTAACTTATTTATTTAAAAAATGATAAGTTTTTTACGCATAAACCAAAGTAAAAATATCAACAAGATTTATTTTACGTCCGATGGAGCCGCGTCACAGTACAAGAACCGGAAAAATTTTGCTAGCCTTTGTAAATTTAAATCAAAGTATGGAATTGAAGCCGAATGGCATTTCTTTGTAACATCACATGGGAAAGGTCCTTATGACGCTATTGGAAGTACAATAAAACGCATGGCTACTAGAGCAAGTTTGGCCAAAGAACGTGAACATCCAATAAAAAAAATGCAAGAGAACTTTATAATTGGGCAAATAATCGAAAAGAAGAAGAATTAACAAAATTATCATTTAGTTTTGCAACAACAGAGGAATACGAATGTATGGCTTCACACCTCAACGAGCAATATAATAATGGAAAAATAATTCAAGGAACTCAAAAGTTTCATTCTTTCATTCCTGTTTCAGAAAATAAAATTAAAGCTTAACGTTACTCAAACTGTAATGATAATGATGCCAAAATATTCGATGTATTTAAGAAGCGATGTAAATAAAAATAGAAAGTAAGTGTATTACAATGAAAATAAATAATGTATCATCTGTCCATAAGGTTTCCGAAAAAAAAGTAAAAAGAGCAGAAAAATGTATTTTGTATGTATATAAACAGCCAAATTTGATACAGCATGGTTGATGCCAGATTGCCAGATCTATTGAGATATCACTGAGAAAAAAACAGTTACGACATTTTTTTAAAGCCAGAACGCCAGAAAACCAGAAAACACCTGAATTTAAAAAAAATATCAAAATGTGGAAAATGGTTTATTCTCCTAGTTTGCATTGAATGGTGAAATTATAATCCATAATTCAGATAAATTTTAAATGTTTTTATTGTCGCAGAATTTCAAATTTGAGCACTGCAGGGCGAGTGGGAAATTGGACTGAATGTTATAAAGTGATAAAAAAATTAACTCTTCTGAGTTAAGGGATCTTTCTTCGTAGTTCACTTTTTAAAAAGAACTTTTAATGCTAACACTATTTATTACCGATCTTACACGTTACACATTTATGATGAAAAAGAGGTAGAGCCTCGTGTGCTCTACCGTTTTAAAGACTAAATATGCTTACATTACAAAATTATGTTACCTGTCTCCTATTGGTGGAGCTACGTGGCGTGATGCGCCACGTTTTCGCGCCAACCAACCTTACTGCCTGATTGGTCAATCCACCTATCAGTATTTTCCTGACGATTCCCCCTCTACTGGAAAGTCGTCCCCGACTTTCACGATCCTTGGCTCCTGCGGGATGAATCTTGGTTGCCTGATGTGGTGGTGTGTGTCGTTGTCCTGCGTTAGTCCTGAAGTCCCTGGTCCTGTAGGTATCTCCGTGTTGATGGTTCCCGTGTTGGTTCGTCTTGGTATGCAGAAGGGCGTCGATTTGCATGGTAAGAATGAAAGAACTGTCTTTGTAACTAATACTGCTAGGAGCACTAGTATTAGAGTCGATATTGTTCCAAATGAGAGCCAGCTAACCAGATGTAGTTTCCAGTGTATGTTGTCCGTAGTCATATTCAGATGCTCTATATGACTCCGGTGCTCCAGATTGATTTCCTGTAAGTACTGTAAAGGCATTTTGTTTATGATTTTTGAAGGAGTTACCGTTAGTCCCGTCGTTGGAAGATAAGTTTTTTGTAATACGTCAGTGTTGTTGTTGGTGTATTCCTCGTCGTTCAACTTGATGGTACAGCCAGAGAACTGGATAAGGTATGATCCTCGTAGCTCTCTTACTTGCCTTGAACAGTTTGATGTTAGGGTGACGTTGTTAGCACTCACCAATATGTTTGCATCATCTATTCGCTTTATGAAGTTTTGTCCATATACTTTCTCCATAGGACATTGAGCTGATTCGCCATCAACCAACTGTTGAATGCATTTTCCCAACGGTTCTAGCTGTGAATTCGTGCAGATATATTGATTTGCCGTTTACATGGAGTGTTGGTTAAAAAGGAATTAAGTCCTTTCACGTAGTATTTCGCCGTTAAATGGATTCGATGGTTGTTGGAAATTACTGGTTCTATGTAGTTTAAGTGATATTCCACATCTTTGACTCGTGGAATTTTGAGCGTGTAAATAATTTCTTCCTTACCATACAGTACGTAGGCGCTGGAGATATCTAATATGTTGTCGTCTGCACCCGTTCCAAGACCACTGTACTGAGGAATTCCTGGGCTATGGTTATCTCGTCTGGTGAAATGATGCGGCTGCTGGGGATATTGCGTCGGGCTAGTGTGATCGCTTCTTCTATTAGTCCTAACTGATCGATTAACTCATCTAAATGAAATATCAAATTAACTGACTCAAAACCTTCAATGGTTTTATTTTGAAATCTATCATGAAATTTAACGAAAGTATTGATTGATTCTGTGGTATTTCTCATTCTAGTTTCCAGTATGCTATTGATTTTAACTTGTCTGTTGTTCTGATCAATAAGAGAATTAATTGTACCGTTAATAATTTTTAGATCGTCAGCATCCGGGCTGTCTGATACACATTTCCAAGCGCGACCTAAACTTTCCCATCGCTTTTGTCTAGAGGGTCTAAATTTGTTGTACATTGAATGGAGTTTTTCTGACTTTACTTTTAATATTGGACTTAACATTTGTTTAATTTTGACAATAGATCAGCGCGGTCGAGTCACACCAACAACAAAGGGAAGCGAGAGCACACCAGGCACCTAAGCAACAGAGGGGGGGGGGGTGAAACATCAGCACAAACTATCACTCACGATGTTAAAAACTATCACTCACGATGTCTTAAATTTCTGTTCCGGGAGCACACGCGAAGACAAAAGAAGCAAACAACGCAGATAACGACATCTCTTCTGATGCTTTCAAACATGATGGATCACGTTACCTTGCTCGATTCTGAAACTTCCCAGAACCTTCTAGGAAAAATAAGAAGAACTTTTGTTTTTCATGCATATTATTTTTATTACTATATTATTCACTGTTCTCGGCTCCGTAGAGTTCTTTTGGACTTTTTAACCTTATTAAATAAATTATTTATAGAAAAAAAGTTATTACCCCGAGCATGGCATGCTCATTATCATAGGATTACTATGAATATACAAAAAATGTTAACTCAAATACGATCAATTACGTTCAATAGTACGATTACTATGTGATCAATTTTGGAACCATCTTTTGGAAAATAATTACAATCTACATCCAACACGATATTGATGGAACCCGATGGTACAGCGGTACCATTTTCATGTTACACCGGTACATTTTAAAATAAGTGTATGGGATCGCAGTAGGGTCCATCAAGATATGATATCTAATACCACGTTCATACTACAGAGTCATCAATATAGGCTTATAACATGTTGTAGCTGCTTAGTCTGGTGAGCGTTTAAGTTAAAGATAATCAACTAAAGGGTTGCTTCCACTCACTCCGCTAGAAAAATATATGTTTCGGAATTAGGTGCTTCATGCTGCTTCTGACAGTACTCACCACCAGAGGGCGAGCCGCCTATGAACGTATGGGCTTGTGGAAAGTCGACTTTAGAATGTATGGGGAAATCCACTATTAAAAATATCAATAATGGTGCTATTTGTCCGAAACATTATTTCTGTATAGTGTCACTATTAGTAAAAAAGAATAAAATGAAGTATTTTTCTCACCACTACAAGCAAGGTTTGAAGAGAAATCGACGATTTTTCGAAACTTTACATACCGTAAAACTTTCGCCACTTTCGGGGGACATCCGTGGAATTTGATGATGGAGACTTTTACTCAATTATTAAATCAAAAGATTTCAAGATGATATTTTGTACTTTTAAATTTTAAGAAGCGGTTTTAAAATATGTGTTTCTCATATAAAACCTGTTAATTTCGATTTCAGAAGATCACAATCAGTGATTTCATCATACCGAAAATCCTTTTTTTTACAGCGAACTGAGTCGAAGGAACCCTGAGTAACTATATAACAGAATTCCCTATTAGCAAACACGATTCTACGCCGCCTCAGTGCACTCCTCTTCGACGAGTTTCTGCTCCGTTAACCACTGAATACCGTTAAGAATCCACAGCTCCAAACCGGTGATGACTAATACGAGTAGCAATCGATTCCCAGAAGAAATAAGTATGTTTACAGCAAATGCATTCCATCACTAATTCAAAAATCCCAAAATTATCTCACCTATGGCTCCAACAAACAGCCCGAGGGTGATATAGTCACCATTCCTCACTTTCGACGAGGCGTCTCCATGAATTCGTGCTTCCTCCAGCATAGCGTACTGGTAGGTCCACAAAGCGGACAGTGCGAGGTTTCGAAGTATCACGAAAACCCGGTATATTCGGATAAAGGAAGCCTTTCCCTGGTGAGCAAAGCAGGAATTTCATTAGATCTTCCTTTAATCGCAGAAGAATTTCGTAACTTACCTCATCGATTCCTTCTTTCACGAATGCGACAAAAAACGAGGACAGTGTGAATACGAATAAGCAGGCACTGACAATCGCAGAGTTGATAGCGTCTGCAAAATTAAAACAATTAAAACTCCTTATCGACTGTAGCCACTTGTAGTGCTTGATTTACCATCGTAGGACAAGATATTGGCCCAGAAAGGGTTTACAACGACTAGGTGAAGGAATGAGTATACGATTCCAAGAGCGGAAAACATCCAGCAAAACACGACATACACCAAACCGATTATCCGAAATGATTTAACGTCCATTTTCCGCGCTGGAATTGATCAAAAACTTTCAAATGTGAAGAGCAAAACGAACCGCCAAGCGAACTATGAACGACTGAACGACTGATCGATTGAAGAACGAACTGCCACGAGTTTAGTTTATTGCAATGTTTTTGTTTCCTCATTGGCGAGAGTCGAATTACCGCATCCAGCGGAGAAAACCAGTTCGATGTTGCAACACGGGATGATGTTGTTGATTTGTTAGAATACGTTCACGTGTGATAGAGATGAATGAACGAATGAATGAATGAAATTCATTGACTAGCCTGTGGGTATCATGGAAGTGTAATCCACACACTTTCACGGACTGACTAGACTGTCATTTTAAACAGTTTCCAGAGAAAGAGACTATCCACCAAATGGACAGTTAGATAGGGAACCTAAACGGTATCAAACAGGGACTACCCAGAGGGATCCCTAATAAGAGCGTAGAGGCTATAAGTACTTGTACTGAATAGACTTCAGAACACAACTGCTTTATTAATCAATTTCGTTGGCCTTAAATAGGTGGCCCTATGTTGCGCTACATTGTGCATTTGCACGGGTTCTAATGGGGAGACTTCTGGAGTGACTTATTCTGAAGTCAGCGTGACAAAACAACACTAGTTTACAGCATTTTTGAACTCGGTAAGGTGATGATCATTTCCAATGCAAAATCCTACGCTGAATTCAATGCCGTGGTCAGAAAAAATTAAAGTAGAGCCATTTTTTAGATATACAAAAATTTTGATTTTTTGAATTTTGGACAAAAGTACGATTACTAAAATGTCAATATCTTTGGAATTAGTGCACCAATTTTAAATCTTTTTTTATGAAAATAAATAAATTTGCTATCGTTCACTAGAATATTATGTCTTAATTAAAAAATTTATTTTGAAGTTATTTAAAAATTTACAGCATTTTTTTTTTATTTTTCTTGCGAATTTTCCATAAAAATCTTGTTTTAATCAACATTTTTAATGGGATAAAAAGATTCAAAAAATCGTTCCATAATTTATTCTTAAATTCCATTAATAACCGGAGAAAATGAGCCTTTAATGGATGAAATCGGTTGGAAATTGTCGAAGTTATGAGCATTTTTGTAAAACACTTAAAAATGTTGCTGAAATACAACAGCTTTAGAGTTCCTTTTCTAGGTATCGTTGTAAGCATCCAAATCGCATGTAAAGTTTTCATGGGAGATTCTTTTCTCTACATATCAATTTGATTAAGGCATATCAGGATTTAAAACCGAGTTGATACAAAAGAAAATGATTGAGAATCGAATGACTTTGTCTTCGATGTTTTGAACTTGTTTCTCGAATCAGAAACCAACAATAGTCACCCATCATTGCTTCATCCCAAAACCCTTGGTAACGACGTTCCATCATCTTCATTTGTTGGTGAAAACGTTCGCCGTGCTCATCACTATCGTCACCAAGATTTTCCAGGAAAAAATTCATGTGAGAATGTAGGAAATGTATCTTCAAAGACATATTCACACCTGTGTTCAGTGAAATAAAAGGATTTGAAATTAATTATATGTAACAACCACAATATTTTTGATTTATACCTATTTTCTCATAATTTTTGAGCAATTCATCGACGGCTTCCTCATAATCTGGGCTTCTGAAATTTCCTAAAAAGGTTGTGACAACACGCTGGAACGATTTCCACGCTTCTTCCTCATCTGGTGTCAAAACTGTATTGAATGCGGAATCATTGAGCAGTTTTTTGATCTGTGGGCCAACAAATACACCTTTCTTTATCATTGCGTCAGATAAATTTGGAAATACTGATTTCAAGTACTGGAATGCCGGCCCTTCTTTTTGCAACGCTTTGACAAACTTTTTGAATAGCCCAAGTTTTTTATGTAGTGGTGGAAGTATTATACGTTATTTTACCACAAGAGGATCATTTTTAACGTTGTCTTTACCAATTGTGAAATTATCCCGTTTTGGCCAATCTTTTCGGACGTGTTGTTCCTCACGAGCTCGACTGTCTTATTTACACAAAAAACACATATATTTTGTGTATCCCTGTTTCAATCCAGTCAACATGGCAACCACTTTAAGATCGGAACAAATTTTCCAATTGTGTTGATTGTAATTTATCAAATTGAGCAATAGAGCCATTGATTCATACGTTTCCTTCATATTAACGGCATGAGCTAATGGAATAGAAGGTTTCTCATTCCCTTGATGCAGTAAAACGGCTTTCAAGCTCAACTTGCTGCTATCGATGAATAAATGCCATTCAGGTGGATCATATGGCTCACCAAACTCTTCAAACAAGCCGTTTACGTCATGGCAAAAACATGCCTTGTCCTTTGTAGAATAATATTTGTCAAATTTCTTGTGACGATTCCTGTGACAAGAAATTTTGACCTCCTTGCTCAGCATGTTGTGTTCTTTCAAGAGTGATGCCAGCAATTCAGATTTCTCCTTCGATAAGTCGAGATCTCGCACCAAATCATTAAATTCGGATTGTGTAAACAGTTTTGGGTTTCTTTCCAATTCCACCTCGAAGTCTTCCTCGCATTCCTCCTTGAATTCCTCCTCACTTTTTGTAACGGTCGATTCAACAGAGGGCGCTCGTTTCCGCTTTGGATAAACAGGATACGGGACCGAACTTGAATGTGGAACAGGTTTTGTCATAGAAGCCACTTGTGGATACTCAACTGTTTTGTGACGTCCTTGTTGCTTGTTGCTTAACTTTTGTCAAGCAGCAATAACAATCCGTTGCATGACAAAACGGTCGACGCCATATGGTGGGCATGTCAAAGGACAAATAGCAACTGACAGATAACAAATAAGTGAGTTAGTAAGTAAGACATTAACACTTATCAAAAATAGATGAAGTATGATAATGTCGATCAGGGAAGAACAAAGCACTATCATATAAATTGTTTATATGAAAGTTATATAAAAATTAATTGTTTATATGAAAGTTATTCAAAAAATCAATTTACCTTGCGCCTGACATCCACCTAGCCAAGCACGTTTTGCACGAACTACATAATACTTTTGGAATCCACGGTTCGTCAAAGTCTCCAGGATCAATTTTAAAATAAAGCCTGTATGCAGTTTGCAACGAAGCAGTGAAATTAAACGATTTTGTAAATATATAGTTGCCACACGCGTAACAAAACTTTTGAGGATCATTTTTACACTTAAATTCACGTTTTGTCGTATACATCGTTAAGCAATGTTAAAGAAAGAAAGCTGTCAAATTGAGTTGGTTGCGTAAGGTTCTCGCCGAGCGGTTTCACAAACACTAGCGTAAATTATATTGTTGAAAATATTCCATTTAATTTTGCGTGACAGCTGGTAGTGTTAGTGAAATGCACCGTATGCGTACACGTCCGCAGAAAGGCTTACTGGAAGTGGTGCATGAACCTAGGAGTGGGACAACGGCCAATCTTGGAACATTCAATTTCCATGATTTTACAAAAAAATTCATAACTTCGACAATTTCCAACCGATTTCATTCATTAAAGGCTCATTTTCTCCAGCTTTTAATGGACTTTAAGAATAAATTATTTAATGATTTTTGAATCTTTTTATCCCATTAAAAATGTTGATTAAAACAACATTTTTATGGAAAATTCGTAAATGGCTCTACTTTATTTTTTTTCTGACCACGGCATTGAATTCAGCGTAGGATTTTGCATTAGAAACGTTGGTCAACCACTAAGGTTCACACGTTTTATGTTGTTTTGTAAACTAGTGTAATCAATACTTCGCGTATAGAACTTTGTACTCAGCGATCGATTGAACTGCAGTGCACTTGCCGTGGCGTGGTGCCTCGATACAGCGTATCGGTCACGTAAGCATAAAATTATATGCGCACCGTACTTAATTTTACAAAGAATGGGCACATCTTTTATTTCGTGCACCACAAAGACAACATATTGCTATCTACGGTGTCGTGAAGATTGTCCAGACTCTTCCGCATTAGAAAACATTTTATTAAAACAATTAGAGTAAAATGCATTGATCAGCTTTCATTTGAACAGTGGGTTACCGCGGATAGATGTGATTTAGAAACTATTGTAAAGCCTGCAGACGAGTTTGTTTCATTTTTCTGCTTGAAATTGACAAGTTTGATACCACATGATTTCATAAAAACACAGCAATCTAATTTTTTGAAAACTACTCGAAATAATTTGCAAGAAGGTGAATTTTTAGTTAGTTGCGATTTTTCCGAAAACTACAGCTTAGTGTTACAGGATGAAGTTCAGTCTCATCACTGGAATGTCCAACAAGCTACCATTCATCAATTTGTTATATATTTTAGAGAAAATTTGCAAGTAAACATTTAAGTTTTATTGTAATTTCTGAAGAGTTAAGGCATGACTCAGTGGCTGTTAACTTATTTATTTAAAAAATGATAAGTTTTTTTACGCATAAACCAAAGTAAAAATATCAACAAGATTTATTTTATGTCCGATGGATCCGCGTCACAATACAAGAACCGGAAAATTTTTGCTAGCCTTTGTAAATTTAAATCAAACTATGGAATTGAAGCCGGATGGCATTTCTTTGCAACATCACATGGGAAAGGTCCTTATGACGCTATTGGAAGTACAATAAAACGCATGGCTACTAGAGCAAGTTTGGCCAAAGAACGTGAACATCCAATAAAAAAAAAATGCAAGAGAACTTTATAATTGGGCAAATAATCGAAAAGAAGAAAAATTAACAAAATTATCATTTAGTTTTGCCACAACAGAGGAATACGAATGTATGGCTTAACACCTCAACGAGCAATATAATAATGGAAAAATAATTCAAGGAACTCAAAAGTTTCATTCTTTCATTCCTGTATCAGAAAATAAAATTAAAGCCAAACGATACTCAAACTGTAATGATAATGATGCCAAAATATTCGATGTATTTAAGAAGCGATGTAAATAAAAATAGAAAGTAAGTAAGTATCATTTGTCCATAAGGTTTTCGAATAAAAGAAAAGTAAAACAGAGCAGATAAATGTATTTTGTGGATTTAAGTTGAGATTTTAAAATAAAAAAGTAGTCGGGATTCGCTATTACAAATTGTAATAGCGAACCCCGACTACTTTTCCGATAGGGCCTGTGTAGAAAAGCGCTTATAAAATAAACATTTTAATACATTGCAAAAACGGCTTGCTTGATTGCTATGGTGTCTTCGGAAAAGTTGTGCAAAATTAAAATGCAATTCTTGAAAAAATATACACGGTTAAAAAAAATGTGTTTTTAATGAAAATGTAAAAATCGTGAAATATTCAAAAAACCATAACTTTTTGAGTTTACCATCACCAAACTTTGCCAGTTAGTAGCAAACATTATGAGCTTCAATGAGACTTAAAACGAAAATTTTCAAAAATGTACTTTTTGAGAAATTAACTTTTTTAATAATAAATATAATTTTTTTTCATTGATACAAACGAAATTTTTACAGTGTATATTTTTTACACAATTGCCAAAATAATATCTACAACTATGCTCTAGACCCCAAATCAATCGAACAAAGCGTTTCGGTAATATATATATTTAAACTCATTAGTACTATTTTTACACAGGCCCTTTTCAAAAAGTAGTCAATATGAAAAACTGAGAGCACAAAATGGCGCCTTTACTAAAAAGGAACAACTGCACTGAAACAAATCGACATGTACCGTTTATTGGATCCATCTTATAACATAGCAATGTCAGCAGGTTTGTTCATTCTATGTGATGATTGATAGATTCCATTGGATTATCACTTAAAAACTATGACTGCGATATGGAATGATTTCTATCGTAATTTCACATACTTAGTACTTGATAATACTTTGCTTCGAACGTGGTTAGCGATAGGTAATAAGTATATGAATATTGTCTGATATATTTCATGGTGAAAAACTGTTGATATGTCATGGGTGGGAACAGACATCTAGAAACTAATGGAAAATCATATAAGTTTGCACTATGAGAAAATCCAGTAAAATATACCTGTTTTCATGATGAATATTGCTCACTATAATGTATATCTTATAAGATAATAATGTATATTTTATTGGAGTTGCTTTTAACAATTTTTGACGTTTGTTGATATGTCGCATGTAAACAGACATGAAGAAACTATTGGACTGTCATTTAACTTTGCAGTATAGGAAAACATGTATATTTCATTGGAATAGCTTCCTTTGATTTTTGAGGTTTAAAGATTGTAAACAGATCCATCCCAATCATTCAATAGTCATATAGATATGCCTTTTAAGAAATCCAACAGCAAACGTTTGTTTTTGCATGTTTTTCTGGGCTGAATATCGCTCCCAATAAAATACATCTTACATGATTGTTCTTTATAAATTATTGAAACAATTTTCAACGATGTTATCGTACACTCATTAAAATGATTAGTTGAACTAAATACTACTAACAACAATGATACTGTATTGAATAATCTTTGTTTGTTTCCGGAAAAGAATGTATTGAGATTGAAAAAAAATGATTCTACTGCAATATTTACTTTGCTATGATTCTAATTAACCATTTTATTCGAGCTCCTAAAACGACGTTTACTACCACTCGAACTTTGAAATAAAACATTATTTTGAGATTTTTCTTCTAGAACCTCGAGAAAAGTAGCCAACATTTGTGCGTTTCATAAAAAATATAAATTATTTGGTCCAGTTTTGTGAAATCGCTGGTAGAAAGTCACGCCAAAACTGCTTGACAAAGTGGTCAATTGTAAGCCTTCTACACGGCTAATTCAGATTCCAGCCCTAGTACTCGAACTTCATGAACCAGTTACATCAACTTATATAATTTAGTCGTTGATTTATTGCACACAGGTGCATTAAGAAAGATTTGAACAAACCACACCACCGAAACGGAACATAAATTTGTCAGTGCTATTTGTCTTCACTCTAGCAAAACGAGCATAACGTTGCACTGCATTCCATGTCGGGAGAGCTGTTCTTACTTCATGCTATTTGAACGAGCTCAATCTTGAAGTCAGTCGTGGCCCAGTGAAATCGAGCGCAGACACCGAAAGCATCACACCTCAATAGTCCTTGATCGAATCCCAAATCAGCTACAATAAAAAAAAGGCACAACTGTGAAAGCTCCCACTGCCTGATTTTTATTTTTCGATTTATTTTTAGAAATCGATTAAATATATGTGTCAAAAGAAGAAGTAAATTTCATGTGATTTTCACACAAACTTTACTTCGATTGATTTATGACACATATTATATTGTGGTAAAAAGTGTAGCTTATGCTTATGGGTTTCAAATCCATTTCAGTTAATTATTATAATTTGATCGATCATATAAAAGTTACCAAATTATCAGCATTGTAAATGTATCAGATATTCATATAGAATTTACCTGGCACATTTTCAATCATATAATTTTCAATGGATTATCTTATAGCGCAAATTTATAAGATTTCCACATAACAGGAATATGTCATATTGGTTCAGTGTGTGCAAAGTTTCAGCGTAATTGGAAATGATCGGTCAGGATCGATTTGCGAACCTTCGTGGAATGCCTCGAAAGTATTTGGCATTTCTTATTGAGATGCTAGTTAATTGATTTTGCTATTTTAAGGCGATTTCTTGTAGTGTCCATTTTCGCTTTACACTTCGCAATTTCACAAGTCATAATATTAAGGTTCTTGTGAATGCACGCAGTTGTAACTACTACTTGCAGTTCGCTGAGGAGGAGCAAGAAATGTCTGAAATTTACAGATTTATAAACCTCGTGAATCTTGAGATATGTGCTCATGAAAATGCGAATAAGAAAATTAATTACAAGGAAACACCTTAATCACTTTTATAGGCTATCCAATAAGAATTTCTTGAACACAATTTCCACACTATTGCCATCTATATGTCCAACCAAGCAAACCCTCACACAACAAAGCAGACCCTTTAGAAAATTTACCAACCATCTCGAGCTTGATTGTGTGCGATCCATCACGCCTATCCTACACTCGCAGTATCGAGCACCGGGGTTCACCCAAGCATCTGCGTACGTCTATATAGTTTTCAACCACGATGGAAAATACATAGGTGTAACAGTCGGAAGAAGTGTTAGTTTGTTTACTTAAATGAACCATGCCCATTTTCTTATGGCATGTTTGCTATACGAAATGCGCCTCGTGTTTATTAGCGAATTTCACATCAAAGATTGATTAATTGCACGATGGAAAATGAACAGGTGGGCAGGAACTCACAGTCTCCCAGTGTTGGTGAGTTCTTTGCCGTTAATGTTCACGAAAAGTTCACTATTTTGCTATACAGAAATTCAAAACAAAAATTTTATCTGCGGATTTGAACAGTTTTTGACCTGTTTCATACTACCGGAAGGTGTATGCTGGTCACAAATGCCGTGCCAAACTGATTTCCTACTCAATTAATCAATCTTTGATGTGAAATTCGCTAATAAACACGAGGCGCATTTCGTATAGCAAACATGCCATAAGAAAATGGGCATGGTTCATTTAAGTAAACAAACTAACACTTCTTCCGACTGTTACACCTATGTATTTTCCATCGTGGATTAATTGAGTAGGAAATCAGTTTGGCACGGCATTTGTGACCAGCATACACCTTCCGGTAGTATGAAACAGGTCAAAAACTGTTCAAATCCGCAGATAAAATTTTTGTTTTGAATTTCTGTATAGCAAAATAGTGAACTTTTCGTGAACATTAACGGCAAAGAACTCACCAACACTGGGAGACTGTGAGTTCCTGCCCACCTGTTCATTTTCCATCGTGGTTTTCAACAATATACCTACAGTAATTGCCATGAAGTAACCAACTATGTTACACACGAACACAATTCCCAGTGAACAAGCTATCGTTTCGCTCACAGCATTCATTCATTGGTAACACTTTGCTCGAGTAGGTCGTACTCCGGTGATTACGTAGTGATTTACAAAAAATAACCGTACTAACAGTTAGCATATATTTAGTAAATACTTGTTGGTGTTTTTCCACGCATTTCTTGTTAAATATTTGTATTACCGATTGCGTGAGAATGGCTGCTCTGTCCCAGGTAAGTTAGATAATAGAAGGAAAGTGTAATCTGCCACACTAGGGAGTGCGGTGAAGTGTCACTACACGTAGACAGTGATCTCGCGGACTTTGGACATTGAACCCTCTATCTTGAAACAAAGTGGAGAGAGAGATGTTGCAAAATGGATGGCATATATAAACTTGTTTTGACATTTTTTTTATTCGCAAAGGACTCTGGAGGTTAAATTTCTTATTCGTGTAATCAATAGTTGAAACACTGACCTAGTTGTTTATTTCTTCTTTATTTAAATAACCCGTCAATGTTACAAATTAGGACTTCCTTGAGCTTATCTCAGCCGGAAGTTTCTCGAATTAAATTTATATTTTTGAGTATTTAATATCTAATCATATGCTATTCAATTTAATTTCTGCAAATCCCTCCCCAAGTACACACGTTATCAAAGCGAGTTAAACTGTTTTCGGTACCAAATTGTTACGCTTCATGGTGCCTGGTGCTTATCTATGATTGATACTTCAGACTTTGTCTACCCTTCCGATTGCTGATAAGCAAAGTTGCCTACCTCATCATGGACGGAATTGGCTCGAAGTAGAGCCGCAACTCGTGCCGCAGTTTACTTTTTCATCCGCATTCAATCATTGTTGATATTTACCTACTTAGCTTAATTCAACCGTATCAATATAATCTTTGTGCTACATAGCTCATCAAATCGGCCGTCCGTCCGGCATGCCGTGCCCTGTCTTCGAAGGCAGCTCCCGCCGTCGAGGGATCTTCGATGGGACCGTGCTTCGCACTGACTGATGAGCAGAACGAAATCGTCGACATGACCAAGAAGTTTGTCCGCGAGGAAATCATTCCGGTTGCGGCTCACTACGACAAGACCGGCGAATACCCGTGGCCCGTCGTCCGCAAGGCCTGGGAACTGGGTCTGATGAATAACCATATTCCGACTGATATTGGTAAGTACTTAAATAAGACTATGGATTCAGAGAGTTGGAAACTGAACATAAAACGGCAGAACAATATTATTACAAAAAAAAAAATAAGTACACAGCAAAAAATAAATTTTAGTATTACATCCAAGAGGATGCGCTTCAATCATGTCGAAAATCTCATGTAATTTTTATGGCCATAAAAATAAAAAATGCAGTAAAAGCAGTGTAATGCCAGTTCATGCACTGTAGTAATGATAATTTTGTCATTTTTGGCAAGTAATATTACACCATATTTTTGACAAGATTGATGTGCATCCACTTTGATGTGATATAAAATTAATTTTTTGCTGTGTATCGCTGAATTCGTCACTATTTTAAAATATGGCTTTTACCTTTCATTTACCTATTTGGAAATAGTGCAGCTAGGGATCCCGAACATTTTTGATTGTCATAACTAGGGGTTGAAACTGTTGACGTTTTTTACGACACTCGCTTTGTTGTCGTGCGTGACAGGAACTCAGCGATGAGTAAATTTGTCTCATGGTTTCCTGTGGAAAATCTAAAAAATCTGCCGGAAAATGAAGAAATTGACGAAAACTTTATTCAGTCTCGCAGTAGTACCAATAGACTGAGTGAATCCAATCTTTACTTTTCTCAAATTCGGGAATTGTTCCCTGGAAAATCCTGGGAAAACATGAGGCAAATTTACTCATCGCTGAGTTCCTGCACTTTTGGCGATTATGAGTAAACTAAACTCAAATGTTGTTTTCATTCCCCGTGTACTCTCAGGCTCTGTCGTCGTCTCTCTTACACAACACAAACGGTAGAATAACATTCGAGCAAAAAGAAAATTTTCAAATAACTATCATATGACATGTGTGATTTCGTTCTAATTCCTGAATGTGGTGTAAATTAAACCATTTCTGATCAGAAATGTTATTACTAGGACATCGTTGCTTGCTATTTTCAGAATTCACACAAGCACAACATCAGCAGCTCTTATTATGAGAAAAACTAAAATACATACATTCGTGACGGTCTTCGGCAACAGTGTCGTATGACAGAGCCTGTCATATGACATTTTAGTTTGGTACTGTAATTTTATAGCTTTTTTTGTAAGTGTCGGCAGCAAAGGCAGTCGATTATCACAGAAAATATGTCGAATACGGTGAACACTTACAAGACTGGTCATAACGTTGAGATGAAACTTGTACCGTGGACGCCCGCTAATCTTAACGACACTTGCATAATGTGATCTCTCCACAATAGGCCTGGGTTCAATCCCAGTCGGTGCCGCCGGGATTTTCTGAGGCACAAAATCTCTGATCACGTCTTCCTTCGGAAGGGAAGTAAAGCCATTGGTCCCCGGTCTATGAGTTGATGGGTCGATAGGTAGGGTCCAGGTGTGGGAGCTGGCATAGGTAGCATTGGTACTCAGTACGGAAAACAAGATCGACGGAAAACAAATCAAAGAAAAAAAATGGTACATTTTTAATTTTTACTTCTAGTAACCCTATCAGCATCAGAAATGCATGTTTCTGGTAGCCTTATTTGCTGTTTTGCACGGCGTGCACAATAGTGGGATTCAAATTAAAAAGTGTTTAGAAATGGTCAGATTACTGGGAATCCACGGTATAAGCAAAAATCTTATCACTATTTCAGGACCGTACAAATGGGAGTTTTGCTCATAAATCTAACCAATAAAGAAGTGAACAATGGAAGAGGGTACAACATGCTGAATTTAATCTTCTTTCATAAATTGAAGACTCATAGTTCATGAAACATTCGTTATAGTTTTCTTATTTTTATAAATACGTTCGAAATTTTCTGAAATTGCCATGCTCATAATTAGACTATTTCTTATTTATTACCAATTTATTTTAATCCTACTTAAATATGGGATCTATTGTACTTCCTCAGAGTGTAGTAATGCATTATCATAATTGTCAGATGATTCTGTCTCCCAAGTAACACAAATTCATTGAATTATGTTGAGTAAACTGCTTTACAACCAAAACCAGTCATACATAGGTGCTATAAACCGTTATAGAACATGTGTGTTGCTTGGGCTAATCAAATCTAATCTTATCTAACACCAACACAGCCAGTTCATGAAAGCATCCTGGAAAATGTTATTCCTCCATCCTTTTTCTTGTCTGTTTGGTATATTTTTACATCAAAGGTGCGCAAAATATATCAAAACGGCCAGGTCTACTGTGCAGCATTTAAGGGGCAAGGTGATTCAGAAACATCGGGCCTGTCTAATTCAAAGATTTAAACACGATGCTTCAGACTCCAATAAATGGATGAAACGTGGACATCTCGTACCGTACCGTGATGCTCCATTTCCTCGAGTGGTTGGGACATGAGCCCTAGCTCTTGTCTTAGCCCTATATGACTTATGGTTATAGCACCATTACCCGCTTTCTGAAAAGAAAAAAATGTAATAAAAAGCCGTATGAGAAAGAAAAAGGAAGAAGGAACCCTAGTTCTATCTTCCCTTGTGTAAACACTGAAAAAAAACGGGTCTCTCATCAATCTACAGGAAAAGTTCGCTAAAACTCCCAATGACTTGCGAACTTTTCCTTTTGTGTGCCTATATTTACCCTTACTAGGGATAGGAAAGGAAATTTTGATGTAGTACTTACTCAACGATAGGCCACCGAATTAGTGACACCATCATAAGTACTACGGAGTTGGATGATTGGGTACGGTATTAGCACAGACAAACAGACATAACACATTGAATATTTCTCATTGTAAATCATCGTCGCTATAACATTACCACCATCTGTTGAGTACACTGTGGTGGGTAGTACGCTGAACAGATGGCGGTAGTGTGTAAACGTCAAACGCAAGGAAATTGACTATGCGCGCCACAGGTGGCGGTACTACCAACTACGATACTTTTAAATTGACCGTTAAATGCTTGTTCGATGAACAACTTGCGAGTGTTATGCCTGTTTGTCTGTGGTATTAGGTCGGGATACGCCTCAACCAGGCGATGCAAACAAAAGCATATGTTTTTTTTGAGGAATTTGATAATAAACCCACGATCTTATGCAGCCTATCAGCAAGCCGAGTTCCTCAATTTGTTTTCTTAGTACTGTATTAGTGAAATTTATGTGGAACATAATGTTAAGAACTAAATAAATAAAAAGAAAGGATCTCACCCGAATAATCCTTGAAGCTCCCGAATACAGTTCAAAAAACTTTCTTGGATCTTGATTAAGGAAAACCGGTACTCGTTGCCAGCCCTCGGAAAGAGATGCATCAAATTAAGCAATCCGGCATCTCTCGGTATCACTATAAGCCTGCTGGATTCACACCATTGTGACCATCTTGGGATGCCCATCAGCTAAGACAGCACCCAACAAACACCGCTCCTGGATATTCCTTTTTTTCTTTTTCTTTTTTCACTTATCATCCACCATGGTTTGATCAATGACGATCCCGTCCATGAGATTTTGAACAATTGAACAATCGGAAGTTTGTTTAAACATGATTAAAGTGGTTAAAATCACCAAATGAAAATCAGCAGCAAAATTAAAAACGTGTCAATTTTCTCATAATTCTCATATGATTCTGACACCTTATCTATCCCAGGCCGTAGAAAAGATAAAATGAACAGATTTGGTAGCTTGTTCACTAAACGTTTCCCAAAGCAGACTGCATTGCTTTCCTAAATTGTGGAACGTGAACCCTCAAAATATGAAGCTTTAAACTGTTGTGAAGTATTGTTTCTCTTCAGGATTCATAAAATCGATCGATGTGCTGCTCGTATTCTAGGTCTAGCATATCTTCGAAGAATAGCTGAAACCTGCTCAAGCGTTCGAAAAACTTAAACTTAAAATCGGTCATCTCTATGTTAGAGATACGGTATTGATACCTTTCGTAATAACCCAACCGATCCATCCATGCTGAGAATTGAACTATGTTCAATAGGCTTATGGCATTTTTTGCCGGTGAATCCATATTGGTTGTGTATGGTGCTACTCTGCTTCTTATGGCTCACGGCTTGGCTACTTCGGCATCAATGCTTTCAACGCTTTTGTAAATGGCATTAATTAAGCCAAGCGTTATGTGCAGCACTCGTGGAGGGTATAGGCCACATGGAAGGGGTTCTTTCATGCAGTTGAAGTAGATACCTCTAAGGGAGGGCAATGGACGGTACGGGGTAACGTATTTAGTCAATACAATATTCGCTACGGTTGTAGGTCATTTTACATCAAGTCGATTGGCGTAATGGTCATTTGACAAAAAGTTGTTTGGTGTAATAGTTGTTTGGCATAGGTAATGTAAGAAATTAAAATAGAATCTTGACGAATAATAAAGATTTCCTTCATAAAAAGCTACATCTCTTCCATTAGTGTACTAACATATTTCTAGTTTATTTTTGTGCCGACTGCACCGTAGTAGATTCCTACTAATAATCTGCTGGCTGGTTCGTCTCTTCTCGACAGTATGTTTAACTCATACGAGAGGATAGTATACTGATAGTTTGATGATCATTTCATGATTATGAAATCATTTCTCTATCTAGAAGTTGAATACTCCTTCAAAATTAGGCCTTAACCTGTCCGATAGTAATAAAAAAATCTCCTTTAGAGAATTTAAAAGGAGCATATACTTATATTCAGGAAAGTACTTAGTAGGGGAAATAACGTATTCTCGTCAATCTAAGCAGCGTCCGCGCTTCTATTAGCATTTTATCAGCGTCACGCACATATATTACGTGTTTCTATGTTAACATTTATCTGCTGCTTGCTTCTCTATCCACAGAAACGACAGAATTGTCTAAAACTGTTTGAAAATGTTTTCACAACGCTCAGAACTGCTCAGATTAGTGTGACTATTGTCGGCAGTTGAACTACTAAACCTCTTTATCGTGATGTGGTGAAGAGTGTTAATGTAGGAATCATTCCGGAAAACTACCCTAAAGTTGAATTTTCCACACAACAGTTGGTTGCCATACGCAATTTTGGATTGTATGGACAATGTTTTTTTTAGGATGAGGTATCTAG